TCGTCATTTTTTCTAATTAAATTAAATTTGCTAAAGTGGATCCAACATTTACAAAAAAGGACCGTGCATTAAAGCTTTAGTGAAAGAGAACTGAACTAAACTTTCTCTATACCTTAACCTAAAACCATAACCTAATTGTAACCCTGACACTAAAACCACATTTTGAGCCTCAAAATGCCTTTAAATCTGTGAGGACCGGTGTGTGTGTGTGTCCTCACAAGTGACTGTTGGTTCTCACAAGCATAGTAGAATGCAGATTTCGGTCCTCACAAAGATAGCTAGACAGGAACACACACACACACACACACACACACACACAGCAGAAATGAAAGTGTTCACTGGCAAGAAAATGTAAACAAAAAAGAATTCACAAAGAAAATACAACTATTTACATGGTGACACTATTTTCAATGTTTTGAGCAGCTTAATAATAACTTGGGATGATTTTAATAAATAAACTAACATTATTCTTGCTTTCTTAATGTGTTTGAGATCATCAGCTGTGCTGTATTGAAGTTATGTTAACTACAGCAGCAATCCAGTAACAATGGAACGAACTTGGATGAGTAGAGAAACAACAGTGCATCATTAGTTTATGACATGAAGGTCAGTCCAGCGAGTTACCAGCATCACAAATTGCCAATTAACAATGCCTCAGATTAGAGTCAATGCTTCATAAGTTCACGCAGGGGGAACTCATCATCAGCACCAGCTGCTGGGAGGAGTCTGTGTGAATCAGGCCTTTAAGGCTCAACTGCTTCAAAGGAGCCACTACTGAGGAAGACCTACATGCACCTTAAGGCTCTGTAAGAGATGTTTAACTGAGAAGGACAGTGATGGGCTGCTTCATCAGATGTTCTGACCTCGACAGTTACCCAACTTCAGCGCAGCTTCAACTGTTCTGCCATGAGATGAACTAAAGAGTGGAGAAAGTTTGGAAACTCTTTTAAAACATTTGATAAAACTCCAGGTGAGCCTAAAGTGTTCAAAGTCATTAATGGTTTCTTTGGAGAATCTATTTTGACACCTTTCTGCAGCTTCCACAAACCTATTTGTATCTTCAGCAATGATCTACAATGCAAAATGTGATGAAAACCCCTTAAAATGT